GCAAAATATTCCTATCTCAATAATTCTGGAGAAAAGAAAGTCCTACAAGTAGGGCTGGAATGTAAATCCACTGATTCTCCTTTTTCTTCCACAATCCTCAGATACTACAACTAACAAAGTAATGGAGTAAAATTATGAATTCAGCACAATCTGAAGATACATTTTTCCAATTTCTCTTTGAGTTCTCTGTGCCAGATTGCCCCAAGAGAGATGGTTACAGATTGATGGCATATCTAAGCTCAGTGAGCCAGGGGCTGCTGTGCTCACTGCTGTGCTGGGTTTTCTCCATGCCAAAACCCAGTCACCCCTTGCTGTGAGTCAGGAAGGAATATTCCCAATGTAAATGACTTTATAATGTATATAAATTAAGCCCTAGAGGACTTGCCAGCAGAACAATTCTCTGTCTAATCAGTTCATCTCACACCCAGCCTTCCTACCATGCACTCTATAGGGAGGGAGGGGTTTGGTCTCCATCCCCAAATCCTCCTGATATTACCAGGGAAAGAGGCAATTACTCCCAACAGCTTTGCTGAAGTCGCTTGTTTAGCCTAGGGAGGCCACTGAACTCATCAGAGCAAGCTGGTGACCACATGTGGGAACAATGCTCAGTCACCACATAGCCATTGTGGATTCTGGTCTGTTCTCGGCCCTGATGATTTTTTGCAGTGATTTATTTAAGCCCATATCAGGGTTGCTCAAGAGCTGAGTCTGCAAGCCAAGTCCGTCACTCCTGGTACTGATTTTTTTATTGTAGGACAATCCATCCTGCCACGACAGTATCTCTTTATCATCAAACAATGTTGCTCAGAGCATGTCACTACCTTATTTTTCATTCATGGGTCATCTGGTTTTGTTTGTCGTTCACTAGGAGACAAGTATGTGTTCAGCCATTTAGGATCATCAATAGATGATGTTGCTCTTCAGAGAGCAAGACTGGGAAAACACATACTGGATTGGGAAGTGTTGATTGGAGGAGTGTGCAGCAATATTTTCTCATGAATTTTACATCTCTCTGCCCTCAGAGTGGAGTACTCCACTCTCCCAGGCTTTAGGAGGTAAACTTAGTTTTGGTTTTCTTTGCTGATCACAAATCCACCACGTGGGTTCATGTGCTGGCAGAAAGTCAATCCAGATAGCTAGATATTTTCTAGCTCCAGGTGATGCCTTTTCTATGTCTGAGCAGCCTCAATGCTGTTCTTTCAAAGCCCAAGGGTGAAACACTTCCCTTTTCACAGGAAAACCATTCTGGCTGCAGAATGATTCATCTGTTGGGGCTGGGGGACAATCTGTTGTCTCCACATTTCCCCATGCACCAGAGGGTGTGGTCATGTCCTCTGGAATGGCCTCTGAAGGCCATGGCGCAAAGGCAGCATGGAGGAGAGGCTCTGATGGGAAGGTCCTCTGCAGCCAGGGAGGAAGTTATCTAGAGATGTTGTTAATTTAGCAAATGAACATAAAGTGTTGCTCCAGCTGTAGGTGGCTTCAAGAAGCTGCAAAGCTTCTTGGTCAGGCTTTTTGTCTGCAGGTTTGGTGATCAGATATGTTATAATATGGTCAGGTTCAGAATCATAGAATCACTTAGGTTGGAAAAGAGATCTAAGATCATTGAGTCCAACCATTAACACAACACTTCTACCTATGCAGTACAAATAGGAATTCAAGAGAGGGTGGTGATGAGGGCTGGTCAAACCTTCATAGACCTGCCTTGAAACCACTGATCAGTGGTTTCCCCTCATTACATAGAGTCCTAAAATACCTGTTCCTCTTCCTCTGTTCAGTTACCCTCATGGTGCATTTTTCCTTCCTTATATCCAGTTGGATTTCTTTTTCCTGCAAATTGCACCTCGTCCCTTCACTGTGAATCTGTAGGAAGTCTTGTCTCTCTTCTGTCTGTCCCCTCTGTCATCCTCCCACTGTCAAGATAGTAGGAGGCTTTATAAGACCACTTTAAAATTTATTTGTATACAACCAGTTCTTGACTGGCCTTGACAAGTTCTCTTAAATAGTCCTAGCTTCCTAAGTCCATCTGCAATCTGGAGAGCTGAAAATATGGAATTGTTGCACTGGCCATGTAGGAATGCCTGGGGAAGTAGAAGAGTTCAGCTGGATCCTGGGAAGGAGCACAATACAGGACTAGGTTTGTCCTGAAGAACTATCCATCTATACAACCTTTGATGGGGCTTTGTTCTATAGCAACCATCTTGAAACTTTTTTCTTTAAATTATTTTTGAGTATTTAGGCCCATTTTTCCACTCTGTTGCCACATCCCAGGATGTGGAGTTTATTTGGACTCCTGGAAGTCTGGGAAGCCACAGCATGCTTTGTGTGCATGAGCTGCTTACTCTCTGCCTGGACTGCTCTGTGTTCTCCTCCCTCCATTCTGAGGATGCCTAAGATGGGTTGCACTCATCAGGCATTATCTTAGCCTTGACACCAAGTTGAGTCACACAAACTGTTCCCATGTCCTTCAGCATCTCAATGGAGCCATATATCCTTCAATTTTCTGCCTGCTCCTGCCCCAGGCCACTTGTATCACTACCTTGGTGGATACATGACCTTTGCTTCCAAGAGACACATGCCTGGGTACTTTGATCTCTGTTCTCAGCTACCCGCCTCTGTGAAGGCTTTTAATATTTTTTAACAACCACCTTCAATGCAGGGCAGTGGTTTTGGATGGAAGGAAGTCTCTGAGCAGGCCAGAAGGGTCTCTGAGCAGGGTTTGAGAAGAATCTGAAGCTGGGCAGGCTCTGCCCTGGCTACCAAACTGGCCTGACTGTGATATGAGAGTTTTTAAGTTAGTTCAATACCTGTGCCACCCCAAAAGTGTCTTTGGGCTTAAAAAAATAAATTATGCTGAGCTTTCCAAATTTGCCGCACATACAACTGCTTAAGTTGGAAGGAGAAATGTGAATTTCATAAGACTTTTTTTTCTTCTGTCTTCTGAGAGGCTGAGCCCAGGAAATCATAAAATTACAGAATGGTTTGTGTTGGAAGGGAATTTAAAGGTTATCCAGTTTCAATTCCCCTGCCATGGGCAGGGACACCTTCCACTAGCCCAGGGTGCTTCAAGCCTTGTCCAACCTGGCCTTGGACAATTCCAGGGATGGGGCAGCCACAGCTTCTCTGGGCAACCTGTGCGAGGGCCTCACCACCCTCACAGGGAAGAATTTCCTTGTTAATATTTCATTTATTTTATATAAGTAAAATTCATTTGCATAGTAAATCCACTTCTTGCAAGGCCCTTTTGACACCTCCCAGTACTGCAGAACCTTGGACACCCCAAATCCTTTTGGTAGCAGTTCTTTTCCACAGCTCAGTGAGTTAATGATTTTTGGAGCAAAAATGCAGTGTGCTACATGCCTGTGCAGCTCTGGCCTCTGCTGGGAGATGTATTCAAGCACCCTCTGAGATCCTTTCACTGGGATGTCTCCTGACACTAAGAGCCTGCTTTGGTGGCATAGTTAGGGAAGACCCACATCCCAAGGAGTCCAGCAGGATTTCCATCCAGCTTGCTGAATTACTTGACAAAATTACATCATGAAGACCATTTCCAGGTGATGCCAAGTGCTCTTTGAGCCTCTTGGACTGCACAAGCAAGAAAAAGCTCATGACAGGACTCAGCTGGAAGGATGTCAGCAAAGGGAGAGAGCTTCCTCCCCCCAGAAGCCCCATGGCTGCCACACTACTCCAGCCCTCAGAGGTGATTTGAAGACACAGCAAAAGATCTGCTAGGAAAGAAGGAGCTATCTTCCTTTGCAGGTCACAAAAAAAGGCATTTGTGACTGCAGCTGCCTTACAAACACAGGCCCCTTATTGTTTGCGAAGACACCCTTGGCAACCTTTCGGAGCAGCCTGGAGATGAACCAAGAAGGCCTTTGTGAAGCTTTATAAAGGGGTATTATGAGCAGGGGCCCCCACGGGCGGGTGGGATGTGCTGGGGCAATCCTCCCCAGAGGGAGCTGTGGGAAGCACGGATCTCTAGGAGATGTTTTGTACTGGAGCTGGTGTACCAGGCTCTCATGTGCTGGGGACAGGCCCATTGCTCCCACCTTCCTGTACAGAACATCCTCACAGTGAAGAGGGAAGCTCTTTGGGAAGCTGAGCAAGATATGTGGATGATCTGACTTGAAAATCTTCACTGACGCCCATCATAGTTACGGCTGGAATGGGGGTTGAGAAGTTCGGGTCTTGGTCCTGCTGCTCCGCTGCAGAGCATCTGATAGCACAAGGCAAATATCCCAGACCGAGAAAATCTGGCTTTCTTGTGAAAATATAAAGTAACAACTGCTGAAATGCAGTCCTTTTTGCTTAATGGGATATTAGTGATCATATCAGAAGCCCAAGACAGGCTTTTGGGTTCTGGAAAGGATTTTCCTTGCCTTTGGTCACTTGGCATAATGAGGAAGACCTAACAGCCAAGAAAAAGAGCTCTCTGGAGGAAGGCATGAGTGTGTTATGGATGATAAAACAAAGGTGACTTCATCTCGAGCTTATAAGCATGGTCTCACACTTGTAGGGGAGTCTCCCTTTTGTTAGTTCTGTGGCCCAAGGACCACTTGCCTTGAGATGCTGCGACAAGGCAGCTGAGTACCCAGCCATGGCAAGAGGTACCTACAGCCTTCCTCAGGAAGGGTGATCTAAAAGTCAGGGATGATTTGCTGTTTCCATATCTTAAAGTGTCTTGTTGAGCCAGGAGGTAATGATATGGAAGCTCCCAAATTCTTCCTGTGTGCTTGTCACAGCAGAAGGACACATCACCTTGTCTGTGGTGTGAGCAAACTAGCTTTTCAGGAGGAGGAGGAAATTGGTTTGTGTGAGAGCCCCAGCCAGGACTGTGCTTCTGCAAACAGAGCAGAGGCAGAGAAGTATCAGGCAAACGCAACCCTGGGTGTATTTTATGGAGGTAAGAGTAGCAAGGAACATTCCAGCTGTGCTGGACCACAAATTCTGCAGGCTGAGTCCACAAACCACATGTGGACTCTGGGGAATGGTGCTGCTCCTCCTTTTCCCACTGGTTTTGTGACAGGGTCTGCCCCAAAGCCAGCCCTCTTGTCACAAGCGGGGAATGTGACCACACAGCAAAGGACGCTCTATGTGGTCACAAGAGCTGCACGTGTATCCCTTTACTCAGGCCAGATGTGTGAGCTGAGCCCACCCACAACCCAGCGTGTGCCCCCTGGGCAAGGCAGCTGCATTTGGGTCTCTGGATGCGTGTGACCCTCAGGGGTGTTGAGACCAACAAGAAAAGGCCCATCAGGGCTCTTTGCCCTTGAGAAGATGGAAAGGTGGGATGAGCCATCCTGCAAATCCCCTAAGGTGGCGATGCCCAGAACTGCCCCTCACCAGAGCACCCCCCCACCAGGCTGAAAGTCTGCATTCAATGTGGATTGGCAGAGGTGAGATCAGGCTGCATGCCTGAAAGAGGGCAAACAAATTGGAGAGAGACTTGGGACAAGGGATGGAGAGACGGGACACAGGGAATGGCTTCCCACTGCCAGAGGGCAGGGTTAGAAGGGATATTGGGAAGGAATTTTTCCCTGTGAAGGTGGGGAGGCCATGGCACAGGTTGCCAAGAGAAGCTGTGACTGTCCCATCCCTGGCAGTATTCAAGGCCAGTTTGGATGGGGCTTGGAGCACCCTGGGCTAGTGGAAGGTGTCCCTGCCCATGGCAGATTAGAATCTGTGGTGTCTTGTATGTGGGCTCCATCTCCTGGCTGCTCTACAAACCCCGCTGCCACCACCCACCTGCTGTGCAGGCACTGCTACCAACACCACCTCTGCTCCCACCCAGAAACCTCTCCATGCAGCAAGTCCTTTTCCTAAAGAGCTGTGAAATCACATCCCAAATGCCAGGGGTTTCCCCAGGATGTGCTCCTGTCACAAACCCCAGAACAACATTTAGACCCATTTAGGTCAGAAAACTGCTCCAAGACCATTGAGTCCAACTGTGACCTCAGCACTGCGAGGACTACCACTGCCCCATGTCCCCATGTGCCACATCCACAGGGCTTTGAAATCCCCCTCAGGGATGGGGACCACTGCTCTGGGCAGCTGTGCCAGGGCTGGACAACCCTATCCCTAATTTCCCCAGTGCCCACCCTGAGGCTCCCCTGAGGCCGTTCCCTCTCCTCCTGTCCCTGTTCCCTGGGAACAGATCCCAAATCCCCCCGGCTGTCCCCTCCTGGCAGGAGCTCTGCAGAGCCACAAGGTCCCCCCTGAGCCTCCTTTGCTCCAGGCTGAGCCCCCTCAGCTCCCTCAGGAGCTCTCCAGCCCCTTCCCAGCTCTCTCAGGAACTCTCCAGCCCCTTCCCAGCTCCGTTCCCTGCCCTGGCCAGCTCCAGCCCCTCCAAGGCTCTCCAGAGCTGCCCCAGTACTGGAGGTGCCTCAGTAGGGAGGGCCACTGCCCTGGCCCTGCTGCCACCCCAGAGCTGGTACAGACCAGGGACCAGTGGCCTTCTTGGCAACTCCACATCATCCTCTTCTGAGCTTCCTTTCAGAGCTGAATATAATCACCCTGCATATCACTCATCAGGTTGGATCTGTAGCACCTTGCAGCTGAGCAGATCTTCACCACTCGAAGTGATTTGGCTCCAACCTCCCCGTGGTGAAAAGCCCCATCTGAGCCATGGAGCTCTCCTTTCCACACTGTTCAGGGGAGGCTCTGCAACTCCCCATGACAGCATTTGGAGCAGCCCAGCTTCCACAAGGTGTACTGGAGCCAGGAGAAGCTTTCTCAGCAAGATTAAATTTGCCAGAATCAAGAACCCAGACTATTTACAAATTCAAGCCAAATTATTTTTATCAGGCAAATGTCCTGCAGAATCTGGGCAGAGGGATTGCTGGATGAACTGGTGAAGCCCTGCTTTACTGGAAATGTCAGTGGCTGCACCATTCTGCCCCTGTGGACCCACAGGATACCTTCACCCCATGCTGTAGCCCATTGGGACAATCTGAGGGTCATAAAAATCCATGCACCACTGCTTAAACTTGAACCACTTCTTCCCTGCCATAGCAACAAGGCTGGCTGGAATCTTGACATGGTTCAGGGCTCTGTGGTGTCCTGATCGAGCTGTTCAGCTGAGTGTGAAGCACTTAAGTAATCACTAAGGTGACTCTGGGAACAGCTTAAGCTGATAGTGCAGAGAACATTCACTCAGAACAGAGAAAAAAATGAAGAACCCTTCTCTTTTTCTCTTTCATTACTCATACAAAATTGCCCTGATGAGGGCAGAGAGATGGAGAAGAACATTCCCCCAACTCCAGCCTCTGTCTCTGAGTCTGGGATCCCCCTGGACAGGCCCCAAAGGCAGCATCCTGGTCCATGTCTCCTACTGGGAGACATAAAAGTGGGAAGGCAATGAACACCTGAGCTCTAGTTATGATTTATAGGGGCCCAAATAGTTTCATATTAGGTGAAACATTGCTGTGAAGCCTAGAAGTAAATGAAGATTTTGATTTTTAGAGTACTTTGACAAGAAAGCAAAAAGAAGCATACTTTTCTGTTTGGCACTTAGGAAGTAGTCTAGGGCTGCAAGCAAGAAATAAGTGATTCAGCAGTGGCATAGAGGGAGCTGAGAGTAATGGGATTAATATAAGGAAGAACAGACTGACATGGAAAATGCATTTTCTAACAGCCAGGAGCAGCTCTCCAAGAAAGGGATGAAAGTCCCAGCATGGGAACTTGCAATTTCCAATAAAATACCCCAGAAAATATCCCACTGAGGATGATCCCATCCTGCAAGACCCCACTGGTGAGAAGTGTGAATCCTCAGCTCCTCTGCCACTGGCTCACTCCAGTTTCTCCAATTTTCACACATGCTCCAGAGTTGTAAGACTGACTCTGAAAATGATGAGCAGTTGCAAGATTAATTGCTTTAAAAGCAGAAAAGGAACAGAAAATGCCTAAAGGCACATGGACAGATAATATGCTGTATTCATAAAGATTTTAATAATTTATTGCTAGCAGCTGTATAAAGATATTCTGTCCCCTTCCACCACTCCTCTTCAAGGACGACTCAAGGAACTCAAATCAAAGGATGTTTTGCATCCTTTTAGGTGGAGTCGTATTTTACCAACCACAGAAACTTGTTTTCTGGTAAGAAATTAGAAGTACTGTCATTGAGTTCAAGGCTTGTGAAAAATTCCAGATTAATACCCTGGAAATAAAAGAGTGCTTGCCTTGGTTCTGGCTGGGGAAAGAAAACTTGCTCAGGGGAAGGAGTTAAAATTAAAATTAGCTTAAAATTAGCTATGTACTTCAGGGATTACCTGAAATAAAGCCCAAAATGCAGCATTTCAGGACTCTCCTTTGCTAGACAGCTGCACATCCTGTGTCTCTTAGGTTACAATGTAAGATGTAACCAAAAGTATGTATTCTGTTACCATCTTCATAAACTGTTAAGATAGGAGGGGCTAGTGTTCTTCATCCTCTCCATGACTCATCCCCCATAGCTCCCTCCTGGAGATACCTTCTGTTAATGGGCCATCAGAATCAAAATTACATCACCCCACTGTGAGATGCTCCACTCAGGGATTCCCAGAGGACAAGACCTCCATAACCACACTTCAGAGAAGGACCAGACTCTTCTACAGGATCGCCGCTTTGACAGAAACACATCCATCACTCCAGTGGGACTGCAGCCACCATTTCATGGGACTACTACCTACACCCTGACCCACGCGGTGTCAGGTCGTATTCTGCATTCACCCTAGAGAGCTTGGGTGGTTCAGCCTGGAGAAAAGAAGACTTTGGGAAGAACTTTGAGAACCCTCCAGTGCCTAAAGAAGCTCCAAGGGAGCTGGATAAGGACTTTGGACAAAGGTGTTGATTTCCTTTCAAGACAAGGGGGGAATGGCTTCCCACTGCCAGAGGGCAGGGTTAGGTGGGATATTGGGAAGGAATTCCTGGCTGTGAGGGTGGTGAGCCTCCGGCACAGGCTGCCAACAGAAGCTTTGGCTGCCCCATCCCTGAAAGTGTTCCAGGCCAGGCTGGATAGAGCTTGGAGAAACATGGGATAGTAGAGGGTGTCCCTGCCCTGCAGAAGGTGGAATTAGATGGTCTTTGAGGTCCCTTCCAGTCCAAACAATTCCATGATTCTGTGATTTTCAGCACATCCTCCTGACCCAGCAAGGCAAGCACCTGCCACTTAAGGCTATGAAACTGTTCCCTGTTCCAGTGCACCACCTGTTTTCCATGGAAATAGCATGTTCATCACAAGTGTTTTCCTGTTGCTACTCCTGGGCTCCACCAGAGGTTGTTCTCTGGCCTCCACAAGCCTTTCCTTTCTCCTGCAGTAATTAATACCCTCATTCACACCCCTGTGGTCTTGGCAAGTTGGCAGGTGGCATAAAGACCTTGTCATTAAATATTTCATTACTAGGCAGTTCAAGATATTAACAGGGACAGTAAATAGTAAGTGTCCTCTTTCTGAAGGAAAAGTAACAAATTTATGATACACTGCTTTGCTTGTTTCCACAAGAGAAGACAAAATCATGGTGCCAGCTCTCATTCAAATGCCCATTAAAAATACCGCTGAAATCCTAAAGAAGGGTTTGCCTGAAGAGCTTGTGTATTACAAGCATTCCTGGGTAAATAAAGACAGGCTCCTGTGTCTGTACAATAACAAGGATTTCTAAGCAGCTCAAACCTGCCTGGCTGGACCTGCAGGACAAACAAAATTCAGCACATTTCTAGAAAGAGAACAGAGAATTTCTAGTCTCTTCTCTTTCTCTTAATTTCACTTAGCCATGCTACTAGTATATCTTGCAGTCATTTAATTAGTTTGATTAACTAGTCTGATTCTGCAGCATCTCTGAAGCCTTTTCATTAAAATTGAGGTTATTCCTCCTCAGTCTAAAACTTCCTTTTTTTTGTTTGTTTTGTTTTTGTTTCTGTTTTTTTCTATTTTTTTTTTCCCTTTTTTTTGGTTTTTTTTTGTCCAGATCTGTAAATTTCCTCAGTATTAACTGTACTAGTATAGGAAGGGTAAAAATTTTTTTCTTAGCTTATTTTCATGGTGGTTTTTTTTTTTTTTTTTTTGTAATTTCCTGGTATTCCTCTTTTGAAAACCTCTAATGCAGGCTGCAAGCTGAATGCCCATCCAGCTGGGACATGAGGAGGATGCTACAGCATCTCAGGGCCACTGGTCAAGATAGTAGCTCTTCTGGCCGGAGGAGGGGGAAAATGGAGAGGGGCCAGGGAGACAGAATGAGGTCCCCATAGCCTCCTTGCTTCTCTGGCCCCAAGCATGCCAGCAGGGACGCACCCCCTGGATGTGGCCAAGGAGCCATGTGCCACTGATAGTGTGGAGGGTGGCTTTCTCTCCATGTAGCACCGTTACTGACTTTTAAGAGATATAAGCATCTATATGTTATTGTACTCAACCCTTTCTTGCACAAGAGACAAAATAGCTGGTAGAGAACTGTAGGAGAAAAAGGAATTTCATTTTCATGGATTTGGGAAGGCAAAGTATTTTGCAGGATAAGACAAAAGAGGTTATTATTGCTTTTTGGTCCTTTTTTTTTTTTTAATGAATAAGAATGAAAAGAGGAGATAAAACATGCAATCCCTTGGTTCAGATTCCATTTCAACCTGTTTTTTCTCACCTAGAAAGTGTCTCATGGACAGAAGGGGATTGTTGTTGTGGTTTTCATCCAAATATAGCACCCAGATCTCAGCTTTTTGTTTCTTTGTTTATCTGATATTTCTTTCTTATCTGTTTCTTTGTTATCCTATACTTCTTTTGTATCTTACACAATCAAAACTTTCAGCACTCATTCTTTGCCACCTGTCTCTCCTCAGATCATTCATTTCCTAGTCTTCATTGATGTTCATATTGTTTGTGCTATCCAAGGGCTCTCCTCCACATTAAACCTAATCCAAGCAGTCATGTCCATGTCTGAAATCCTCCTGGTAGTGCTGACGAAGAGGCAAGAGGCTTAAAGATTCTCATGTCTTTTTGCTGTCCCTGCTGAATGCTGTGCCCATCAAAGTAACTGAATCTTAATTCACATTGGCTGTAACCAACTCCATAGGCAAATTCCATACGTAGATTTCAACTCAGCTTTTCTTTCTTGGGGGATCAAGAAGAGGAGGTTGGGAAAATGCTCACTTGTTGTCTTTCAGCTTTTTCCTTCCCTCCCCTGCTGTACTTCACACCTCCACATTTGTGGATTCTTTGTGGCACCCAACATTTTGGAAAGACTGTTTTCCTGGAGAGCAGGAAGCACAAAGCTGGAGCAGGAGTGTTGAAGACACCTACTCATATCCGCAGGTATTTGTCCCTGCAAGTGTGAACCAAAATCCTTTGCTATCTCTTTTATCTGCTCTGGAGGAAACAGCCTCAAGTTGTTCCAGAGAAGGTCCAGGTTGGATATTAGGGAAAATGTCTTCCTGGAAAGGCTGCCCAGCCCTGGCACAGCTGCCCAGGAGAGTGGTGGAGTCCCCATCCCTGGAGAGATTTAAAAGCTGTGTGGGTGTGGCACTTGGAGATGTGGGTTTGTGGTGGCCTTGGCAATGCTGGGGTAGCAATGGACTTGGTGACCTCAGAGGGCTTTTCCAACCTCAGAAATTACATGACTCTGTGATTCTCTCCAACGTTCCTTTGATATCCCTGTTTTCTTCTCCTACTGCTGCCTTCTCTGCCTCTTTTCCTCATTAACAGCAACACAGGTGCTAACTGCCTTTCTTGTGACCTTCATGTATTTTATATTCACTTATCAAATGCTTCAGGAGGGAGGGAGGTAAGGGTGTTTTGTGGTTTATATCTTATTGATGGGATTCTCACCAGTCCTTTTGATACACAGACTTGACTCAATTGATTTCTGGCTGTGTTTCCCTCCTGAGCCTCCCTCCTGTCTGCATTAAATTGGTTTTCATGTGCAGATTGCAATCATACCAATTCTGTGTGTGCACAAGCATCCATGAGATTAACTTGCAGAACTGCAATGCAGGTAGCATCAAGATTGTTCAAAAGAAAAAAAAATTAAAAGTCAGGGCTGTTGAATTGCTTTTCTTTTTTGCTCAGTCATACAGGAAGAAAATACATGAGGACCACATCACGGCCAAGATCCCAAGAAGTAGGTGAGTGAAACAAAGAGGGGAGGAAGTTCGTTGCCCCATGAACCAAGTCTGGGACACCAGATTTTTTTAACTGTATCCCCCAAGCTTGTACAGATCCATTGCTCCAGCATTTTCTTAGGGAACATTGTGGGCTGCACTGCTTCTGCCTGAAGCAGAGGGCTCAGTTTAAACTTTCAGTTTAAAGCTGGATTTAAAGTGAGACAGGGCAAGATTAGATTGAATATTGAGAAGAGATTATTCCCTGTGAGGGTGGTGAGACCTTGGCACACGTTGCCCAGAACAGCTGTAGCTGCCCTATCCCTGAAACTGTCCAAGGCCAGGTTGGACGCTGGGACTTGAAGAAACTTTGTCTAGTGGAAGGTGTCTCTTCCCATGGCAGGGGGTGTAATGAGATGATCTTTAAGGTCCATTCCAACCTAAAACATTCCTTGACTTTATAACTATCCTAGGCCTTGACAGTGTTGACAGCTCTCCACATTGTTTCTGAAAGCTGGAGATGAGAAGCCAAATGTTCCAGCCTATTATTGTCTTGATTAGATAAAATCAATCATAGAAGCTCAGAATGTCCTGAGCTGGAAGGAATCCATCAGGATCACCGAGTCCAGCTCCTGGCTCTGCACAGGACACCCCAACAACCCCACCCTGTGCCTGAGTGCATTGCCCAAATGCTCCTGGAGTTCTGGCAGCCCTGGGACCATTCCCTGGGGAGCCTGGGCAGTGTCTGACCACCCTCTGGTCAGAAGAGGGAAGAGCCTTTCCCTGATCTCCACCTAAACCTGCCCTAACACAGCCTTAGCCATTTGCTTGGGTCCTGTCACTGGTCAGAGAGAGATGAGATAAAATACCCTATTTCCTGCCTTAAATGACTGCATGTTGTTCCTCACCATGCACCACTCAAACCCAGTATGTAAATCATCTCTAATCACTAGTGGGTTACAGAGACAACCCACTTCATCATGAAAATATGCCACAATTCCAAAGCAGGTTCTTGTTCTGAGTCAGAGAAAACATTGCATCTCTTCTGCTGGAGAGAAACACTGAAAATCCCTCAAAACTTCTGGTCAATCAAAGTGCTGTTTCTATTTTGACTCTTTTCTTTTCCAGTACATAAGAGATTGAAGCAAGAAGCCCTTTCAAAATGAAAAATGAAAAGGCCTCACTCTAAAAATGTCAAAATATTTTAGTTTAATACCTTTAGAATACTGGTGAGACCTTTCATTTTTTTTTTCAAGCTGTGCTTTAATTAAATCTTCAGTCTCGGAGAAGCTCAACTCCTTGATCTGCCTCAGTAAATAGAATTATAGAATCACTGAATGATTTGTGTTGAAAGGGACCTTAAAGATCACCCAGTTCCAACCCCTGCCATGGGCAGAGACACCTTCCACTAGAACAGCTTGTTCCAAGCCCCATCCAACCAGGTCTTGGACACTGCCATGGATCCAGGGTTGGCCACAGCTGCTCTGGACAACCTGTGTCAGAGCCATACCATCCTTACAGGGAAGAATTTCTTCCTAATATCTGACCTACACCTACTGTTGGTGTGAAGCACATTCCCCATGTCCTGTTCCTCCATATCCTTGTCCAAAGCTGCTCTCTAGTTCTCTTGGAGCACCTTTAGGCACTGGAAAGTGCTATAAAGTCATGAAATGGGGACTTCAGCTGCTCTTTGGTTTCATCCTTCCTTGGTGCAAGCCCATCCTGGAGGAGGTGCATAGCCACCTCTTCATTAAATCATGTTTCATTGTGAGTTATTTCAGAGTTTCCAGTTTGCTCTTTTAGAGTGAAACACATCCTGGGTGAGTTAAATATAAGGTAAATGGTTCAGAGGCTCTGGGAACCAGTTTTTGGCAGCAAAGGACTTCATCTCATGATGGTAGATGCTAAAGGTCATTTTCTGATAATATTTACACAGACTAAATGAAGCCATTGAAATAACCAAGCTGCTGCTGTTATCTCTCACAAAAGACTGTCCCAGCAGTGGAAATAACTTATTCACTAGGAAAAAAATCCTATCTTGACAGATTGCCCAGAAATAGAAATACTTTCCCTGTCTCAAGCGATTTCAACCCCCATTCCCATCCCCAACGCATCCTCACAGCTGCAGCAGGATGGTCTATGAGCCAGGAAGGTCGACCATTGGATAACTGCAGACAGCAGGATTCAGGCTGAAGTGTTGAAGGGGGAAAAATGAAATTGCAAAGGTTCTCCCAGCCCATTACCATGGGAAAAAGACACAAGGAATAAATCTTGGATGGGCTGGAAATCAACAGCAAGACCCTACAGACTGCAAGGAGTTCAAATCTCCCTTTCGAGAGGAGTTGAGCAATTGCACAGAGTGCTCCATTTAGCTGGATTCAAAATGATCAGGAAGAAAACAGATTGGAAGTTGGCTGCCACAGTGAAATTGCCTTATGTTGCACTTATCACACTGGTGACACTATATAACTGATAACATTTAATGATTTTTTATGAACAAGCCTGGAGGTGACCTCCAGCTGCAGACTCATGAAGCTGCAATAATCACCCAGACATATGGATACTGATCTCTAGGAGAAAACAGAATCTCTGAACCTGCCCCAAAGAAAATTAAACAGACAGTTTATTTTTTGGGAGGCAGGACTTCTTGGGGGAAAAAGGCAGAGATCTTTCATCATGATGGTCATGGAAAAACCAGTTGTAAGGAGGCACCTCAGAAGTGGGGCTGGGGAGGTGGTTGGGGACCTCAGGTATATAAAGGTCAAAGAAAAGAAGGTGACATTGCTGCATTTGGACAAAAAACCCGTGTGTAAGAAGTGAATACATGGAGACAATGCAATAAAGGCTGTGAAAATTCAGCTAAGTGGTAAGGGCTAACGTAGAATCACAGAATGATTGGGTTGGAAAGGACTTTAAAGACCATCTTCCCCTACCAGAGAGAGGAACACCTTCCACTGTCCCAGGCTGGTCCAAGCCCCATCCAGTCTGGTCTGGAACATTCCCAGGGATCCAGGGGCAGCTACAGCTTTTCTGGGCAACCTGTGCCAGGGCCTCACCAACCTCACAGGTAAGAATTTCTCCCTAACATTGCATCTCAAGCTACTGTGTAAAGCTATTCCCCTTTGTCCTGTCAACTCCGTCCCTCATCCAAAGTCCCTCTCCAGTTCTCCTGCAGCTCCTTTAGGCACTGACAGGTGTTCTAAGGTCTCCTCAGAGCCTTTTCTTCTCCAGGCTGAACAACCCCAACTGTCTCAGCCTCTACAAGCACTGCAGTAGAAGACTGGGGTGCACCTTTCTGCCTCTTGTCTTGGACGCCCTTGGAGGTCCCAGTGAAGGGCTCACCAGTACAGTCTGCTGGGACCAGTCCTCTCTCCCCTGGGCTTCAGCACCCTCCAGGAAGCCAAAGGTAAATGTGGCAGACCTCCACCAAAGAATGAGTCAGAGACTCAGCCAAAACTGAGAAGTCTGAAGAAAAACTCATCCCATCAACTGAATATCCCAGACATTTACTTGAAAGTCCAGAGACTTCTCATTTGTTTTATATTTCCTCGCTCGCTCCCATCAAGGTGGTTGGAAGTCAAACTACATTGGGTAGTTTCTAGACTTTGCTTTCCTCAAGAGCCACCTGATTGTCCTGGAGTCACACCCCATGATTTCCCAGGAGGGGAAAGAGGAGCTATGGGCTTATCCCTGTACCCCCCTGCCCACCCAAATCCACCTTGTAACCAAATCTACCTGGGGCGATCACCAGGCTTGGCATCTGCTGGACCACAAGCCAGTGTCTCCACTAGGCAGACCTGTTTGTTTCCTGGGGTGTCTGGTTTGAGTCCTGCTGACAGCGCAGGTACCTGCTCTGCACTCCCCATGGGTGTAGGGAAGCTGGGCTTCCAGAGGATTATTTGTAGGGCACAGCATTACTTATGTTCCCGTATTCTTGCTGTGTTGCTATCACGCCCTGAACTGCATTTCAAAATCACAATTTAGTAGTAGATCTGTGATTTCATTTAATTCCATGAAATTAAATGAAACTTTGTGGAATGAAGTGAAATGAAAAGCAGATAAATTCTATAGAATTAAATGAAATTATATTTTAAAACTTAATGAAATAAAATTAAGTGAAATGAAATTAGATTCTAAAAAATAAGATGAAATTAAATTAAATTTCATGGAATGAAATTCAATTAAACAAAACAAAATTAAATAAAACGAAATGAAATGCTGCAACTGGCAGATTTTTTTTTCATTTCCTTCAAAATATTTAGAAGTCTCAATAGCCGATTTGCTGATAGTAATATCTGCAATGCTAGTTCTCTGAAAAATTTAATTAATCATGTTCCACACAGAATTAAATCTCTCAAATTATTTATGACTTGATGAACTCTTTTCTTAACCACTGCTCACTCTCAAGGGTCATGATTCACAACTTGCATTACATTAGCAATTCCAGTGGACATGCAGACTCCTTGTAGTTGTGGATTTGTGGTTGTAGAGAGTGTTTGGTAAGTCAAATCCTTGTAAATCCCTGTGGCATTTGCTCATATAACTAAATGCATTAATGGGCATTATATTGTGACATCAGCTGTGGTAGTGCTCATTTAAAACAATTAAGTATTTCACTATCAAATAAAGCTTTCCTTTCTCTTCTGTCTCTACTTTCCAGAGCTTTCAATAAGTATTCATATTTATTTCTGTAAACTCAAACTGACTCTAAAATACACGGAAAAAAAATCAGTGCATTGTCAAAGCACCTAAGCACTTAGGAGAACAAATCAGGGGCTGCTTTCAAAAGTTCTCCAAGGAAAATGTTCATTGAATTGTTGGAAGCTTCAGAATTAGTTAAACTTGTTCCCGTAAGGAATGGGTACCTGCTGCCGCCGCGCCGCCGCTCGGGTGGGAGGGCTCGGGGCTGCGGGGGCAGCTCGGGGCACAGGGATCGGGGCTGCGGGAGGGCTCGGGGCTGCGGGGGGGCTCGGGGCACAGGGATCGGGGCTGCGGGAGGGCTCCGGGGCTGCGGGGGGGCTCGGGGCTAGGGGCTGCGGGGGCGGTTCGGGGGCTGCGGATCTCAGGGCTGCGACAGGGCTCCGGGCCTCGGCTCCCGGGCGTGGCCGGGCTCTCTGTGGAGCGCTCGGTGCCCGTGCCGTGCCGGGCTGGCCGGTACGTGCCCCTTCCCCGGGGAGCGATCGGCCTGGCGGCTCCGCCCGAGGATGGGCACGGAGAGCCCCGGGCAGGGCCGGGGTCCCTCAGGAGCGGGCGGCCGTGCGAGGCGCCGTGTACCGTGTGCCGTGTGCCGTGCGACGAGGCCTCTGCCGTGTGCCGTGGCCGTGTGCTGTGGCGTCTGTTTACAGTGCCCGGAGTTCCCCCGGGTGGGTGGAGGATCGCAGGCCCCTGGGCTGGGTTTGGTGAGTTTTTCTCAGTTCAGCAGTGTGAACACTCCAGATGACCCGGGGGACACTGCTGGACAGCTCTGTTCTAGCAGGACTGCACGCTTGTGCTCCCAGAGCTTCAGTTCAGAGCTCATCTCAAAAGCAAGGTGGCTGAAGAGATTTTTCTTTCATACCCATCACTGTTTTTGTCTTATGCTTTTTGTTTTGCTTTAAACAGTTTGAAAACCACAAGGAGGTAAGCCAAGAGCCTCCTGTGGCACCGGATTCTGTATTTGCCACTTTGCTGAAGGGAGCCTGGGAGAGAGGAAGCAGTACCTTCCTGGAGGATGGTGTTCAGAAAAGTGGAGAGACTTGGCTTCCTGGCTCCCCCCACCTGAGCAGCTTTTGTTGGGAGTAAAGCAAGTGCTGCTGTACCCGAAATCCACAGTGGAGAACTTGAGCAGCATAAGAGCAGCGTTGTAATAATACTGTAGTTATGCTTGGTTTATGTTATGGTAGAAGATACAAATGACTTGGCTGCTAAAACTTAGGTTCCAGTGCTGTAGCTCTTTTTTCTCTACTCGGCTCCGAGGGTACGCAGCACCGTACAAAACTGCACCTAATTTGTAAACAAATGTCAATTGTTCTGATTATTGAAGCTGGGCTTTATTCAGTTGAATCCCGACTGTGTACTGTGCCCAGGTCCTTTGTACAAATAGCATACGGGGCCTGGGGGAACCAGAACTGCACATTCCTTGTGATATGTATGGGATTTTGGGGGGGTTAAATAAAAAGGAGATGCAAAATGAGGGAATTGCTTTTACATGTAACTATTCTTGTCCTAAAGGAGCCATCAGCTCTGTGCCGAGAGTTGAGTTACAAGTCTGTGTCTTGAAAGAGCTGCAAGCCTTTTAGGGGCTGCAATTTGTGTGCCGTGGAATGAGATGGCCTGAGGAAATCTGGGAGCCGAGGAGAGCCGAGGTGTGGGGAATGGGCGAATGGAGGCGGGTGTGGGCGAGAATAGGCGAGCGTAGCCGAAAGTAGCCGAAAGGGCCCGAGGAGCCGAGCGGAGCCGAGCGGCTCCGAGTTCAGCCGAGGTGAGCCGAGCTGCGCCGAAGAGGCGAATCGAGCCGAATGCAGACGGTAATAGCCGAGCTGCGCCGAAGCGAGCCGAAAGTGACCGAGGAGCCGAGTCCAGCCAGACCGAGCCGAGCTCCGCCGAGCGCAGCATCCCGGGCAGGGCGGGGCGCCGGGCCGGAGCCGGGGCGCTGTGAGGCTCCCCGTCCTGTCCCTCTCTCTACCGCTCCTTCCTCCTCCCCATATTCCCCTCAGTTATCTCTCTTTCCCCCTTTTCCATCTCGCCCCCCAAACCCGGCTCCTTCCTCTCCTGTCCCTGCCCCGCTACTCCGTTCCATTCCCCGTCTCTCCCTCCTCTGTCCACCGTCCCTCTTCCTCCCCTGCCGGCCTTTCTCTTCCCCGCCCGCTTTCCTCCGCAGCCCGACCTCCCTCCCCACCCTTTCCATGTCCCGCTCTCCCTCCTCTCTTCCCGTCGCCCTTCGCTTCTTTCCCCCGCAGCCGCGGGGCTCGGGGCGCCGGAGAATAAAGCCCAGAGGGCCGGAGCCCGGCGCCCCCCGGCCCTTGCGGGAGTCCCCGCACGGGGCCAGAGGCTCTCGGCGGATCCCCCCGCGCCGCTCGGACACCGCCCGGCGCTGCCGGACCTGCGGCTCCGCCACCGTCGCGCTGAGAGCGGCCCCGCTCTGCGCCGTGCCGGCCGTGCCGCGTCCCCGCCGCCTCTGCCGCTCCCAATTTCTGCCCCTGGCCTGCGACAGCGAGGCGGGGCGGGGGCTTCAAGCCTTCTGGGAGCCGTAGCAGATTTCTGTTTGATCTGTGTCTGTGAGAAGTGGGCTGTGTGCTGGAGAGGGAGAGACGCTGTTGGAGGGCGGCAACAGCGGCAGGTGTGAGCTGTAAGGATGAGGAGGGCTCAGAGCAGCCCCAGGTGCGAGCTGTGAGGATTATGAGGAGGGGGCGGCTCCTCCGGGGGCTGATTTAGGGGGTTTTCCTCACATCGCTTTTGCATGGAGCTGCTGGAGAAGAGGTGTTTATGGGGGGGGGGCCGGTGAGCACTTCGGACAGGGTCTGGGGGATCACTTGGATACGTGGAGCATTGCTCAAAGGAGGTGCCGAGGGACAAACCTTTGTGCCGAGAAGCAGCAGCCAAGCAGGCGAGCCGGTGCGCCTTTGTAGCGGGCACTTTTCTCCTTTCCGTTTTAAATTTCGTCTTGCCAGTCACTCCCTGTTGCTCCCAGGGAAGAAAAAAAAAAAAAAAAAAATTGAGGGTATTGCGGACAAAAGAAATTCATAATGAGGGAAGCAATTCCTCTTCCATTATTGTCCATGATTGAACTGGGAGGGGTCTCCCTTCCCTTGTTTTAAGGGTATTGACTGAAGAAAATCTTGTTTTTTCCATGGTGTTAGGGATGTCAAAGGGGAGACAGGGAATCCCTGTGTTCTCTTTTAAATGGAACGGGAAAAATATTGTTGTCGTATGATGGGTTTGACTTCAGGGTAGCCCCCACCTTTTCATCATCCTGAGGTTGAAATGGAGGGGGCTGCCTTGTTGTCCCTCCTTTTAAAGGGTTTGGATTGAGGTAGAAATCCCCCTTTGTCATCATTTGAGGCAAGCCCCTTCTTTTCTGCTCTTCTAGGGGATGCGATGGAAGGGGAGCCCACATTTCTTTGCCCTTGTTGAAGTGGGGTGAGCGCCCGAGCGTGGCGTCAGTTTCGGGGCTTCAAAGGAAGGGAGGCGCAGCTGTGGCAGCGCTGGCAGGGTGGGCATGGGGCTGTGCCGCTGCATTTGGGGCGCTTCTTCTGCCCCTGGCCCGGCAGCGAAGGGTCCGGCGCGGGAGCCCCGCTGGCAGTGGCTGGGGATGGCCGAGGCGGGAGGGGAGTTTGGCGCGGCGGGGCTGCCGCGGGACTGCCGGAGCCGCGCCGGTGCGAGCCGTGCGGAGCCGAGGGGAGCTTTGGCCGGGCCGGCGGGCGGGGCAGGCGGCGCGGGCGCTGCGCCGGTGCCGGCCGGTGCCGCCGCTCCGTCCGCTCCGGGCGCGGGGCTCGGGCGCCGCCGGGGCCCCCGGGCCCGGTGCCGGCCCCGCCGGGCCGGGGGGAGCGGGCGGGGGTCTCCCGGCGCGGCGCCGCCTGTGCCTGCCCGAGGAGCCGCTTTCCTGCCGGGAGCCGTGCTCCGCCCGGTGCCGGGAGCGCGGGTTTTCATTTTCCAGAGTTCCTTGCTGTGGTGGTTTTGAGGAACTTAGTGGATCGTTTTCTTTTGTTCGTAGTTGGTGTATGAGAAAGGTCATGGTGTACTTGTTGTTGTTATGGTTCTTGGTTCATGTGCTGATGACAAGGGTTTTTTTGGATTGAGTTTGTTGTTGGATTTTTTTTTTTTTGGTGGGATATGTTGGGTTTTTTATTTGTTTTTATATTATAAAAATACAGTTGTAGTTATCTTCTTAAAGGATATTTTTTTTAAGGTTTACTGTGGTTTTTATGGGTCGTAGCATGAAGTACAGGGTTGGTTTTTAATTAGGCTGTGGTGGCTTTTATTAGCGTGAGTATGTAGTGGTTTTTTTGGTGGGTTTGGGGTAGTGTCCTGTAGTCAATTAGTAAGTTGTTTGTTTGGTTTTTTTTTAATATTGATAATTGCATTCTTGTTAATTCTCTTATAGAGGTTTTATTCATTTGGTTTGTTTTATTGTCGTGAATGTTTTATTGTTACCGGTAATTTTGGAGTTATTGTTTATGGTTACATTTATCTTTTGGTGACGTGTTTATTTCTAGGTGGTATTTGTATTTTGATGGTTTGAGGCATTATGGCTTTATTGAGTTAGGAATAATTTTTGTTGTTAATTTAAGTTTATTTATTTGGGTTTTTGTTTTAGTTTGATGTATTTGTTGGTTGCTTTTTATTAGTGGGGTTTTTTTTAGGAACATGTGTATTTATATGGTGGGGTTTTTTTAGGTAGTTTTTTATTTGGGTACTTATCTTTTTCTTGTCTAGTGATTTAGAATATTTTAATATAGTTTATTACTTTAGTTTTTAAAGTTAAATTAGACTACTGGTTACTCTTCGAGTTAGTGTAGAGGTGTGGTTTTCATTTTTAGTAGCTTTCAGGGTCTGTTGTACGGTTTGAAGTTTAGTAAGCTGGTTGGACTTCTTTTTCTAGTGGGTTTTGTAATTCGTTTTCTATGTATGTTTTGGTTTCTATGGGTTGTTTTTTATTTTTGTTTCATTTTTGTGATGTGTGTCACGAAGAACTGTTAGTAAAGAGTGTAGCGTGGGTTTATTTTTTGCTAAGGGTTGGTTCTATGGTGGTGTATTTTTAGTTTGTGTTGTTTGGTTTCGTGTTTCTTTTGTTAGAGATTAAAGTTTTTATTCTGGGGTTAATTTTTTATTATTTTTAAGGATTTAGGGCGATTGAGATTTTTGATATGGATGTCTTGTATGATAAGAGTTAATTTATTTGCTTTATGTGGAATTGATGGCGGGGTAGGAGACATTTTTGTATAGAATGTGTATTTTAATCATAGTATTAAAATAATACCGTGGTAAGAGGGGCTGTGTTTTATTGTTTGTTTTTGAGGTGGTTTGGCATTTTCTTATAGGTTGGCGGGTTTTTTTGTTGGCTCGTGGAGCCATTCTGACTTTTTTTGATGAAATTGGTGGGAATTTGATGTTTCTTTTGTTATTTTATTTTTAGGAATTGGGTCTTTTCAGTAGGCTTTTTCATTTTGATTTTTTTTTTTGTTTTGTGGTGTAATAGTATTTTAGAAGAATTTGGATGATTTTTAAAAATATTTTTGTTATACTTTTCATCTAATATTGTTGGGTTATTACAGATGTTTTGGAGTTTTCTTTTTAAGTTTCATTTGGATGAATTTATGCTAGATGGTAGGACTGTGTTTTTATTTTTGGGGTAGTTGGTTGTAGGTATATGCTTTTCAAGTGAAGGTAAATCGAGGTTTGTATTCGGTTGTTAGAGGAATGGAGAAAAATGTATTGGTAATGTTAGCAGTGGTGTGTTATTTTGTGGTTTTTGATTTTAGTTTGTATTGGAGTTTTAATAAGTTTGGTACAGTAGTGTTTAATGGTGGAGTTATTTAAGGCATGATAGTTTATAGTTAATTCTTATTTGTTTTAGATTTGTGTGTAGGTTAGAGGAGGTTGTTGAAGGGTAAGTGGGTTTTGTAGATGAATTTTAATGTTTCAGTTTATAGAGCATTTTTTGGATGAGAGTTACAGTATTTTGAGTTGTTTGGTGTCGCTGGTGATGTATTGTTGAGGTGGTAAGGAGTATTTGTTGGGTTTTTTTAAAGAAGGTTTATTGTTGATAGTTTTAGATAGTTGTGGTGGGTTGCTTAATTGTTTTATGGTTTTTGGCTTTTTAGTAGTTATTTTAAATATGTTTGAGTTTTTGGGGTTTATTGAAATACTTGATTTTGAAGAAGATCCTGTTTAGAATGTATGATTTTTTTTTTTGGCTTAAAATAAAAATTTTATATTTTTTTTGTGAGGTTTTTTTTTTTTTCCTTACTGCTATATTTTGTGATATTTGTGTTAGGTCAGTAATAGGAATAGCTTTACTTTTATATGTTGAAATGAGGGTAGTGTGTACTGCATTCTGGTGTTCATAAAGGTTTAATATTTTTGTGGTTCTGATGTGTTAGGTTAATGAATATATAAAGTTTACAAGACTTTTTGTTTTTATTTTGATACAGGCAGGGTTTTCTTAGTTTTAAGGGTTTGTTTGGCATAATTAAGAGGCCTTATTGAGGGGATAGAACAGGGTGTCTCTGTTAATCTATTTGGCAATTTGGATATTGGGTAAATAAAGTTAATATTTTGGCAGAATTTTTAGGTTTTGTTTATTTATTTATGAATTTGTGTGCCTACAGCTGTAGTGTCTCTGCTGCAACTCCAAGTATCCATTCATGTTTGTGTGCATTAGGTGGTCCAGTCGTGTAACACCGAGACCCCCTCTGCAACCAGCCCGCAGACCCGCTCCTTCGACCTCGTGGGAATTTGGGAAGCGGCACACGGCTCTGCAAGGAAGCCTTGATCTTTGTCACTGGAAGGTGTCACACAGGGAGCCTTCAGGAGCGGCCGAGGAGTTGCTGTAAGTCGGGCAACCATTAGTTAGGGGGAGCCAGGGTCCACTCGAGTTTTGGGAATGCCACATCACCTCGTCTCCTCTTCAGCCAGGCAGACCCTGCCAGGAGGGCGAGGGCGAAGCGTGTGGCCCGAGGAGCCCGGCGTTCTTAGGAGAATGGCGAGTAGCAGAATTGCTGGTTTGTGGCTGCTGAGCAGCTAAGATCATGCAGTGATGTTTGCTGTTCTTGATTGTAGCTGAGCAAGGGACCACAGCCTGCTGACCATAAGACATTCCCAGCTGTCGAGGCAGCCTCCATTTGCACAGGATGTGGATTCTCATCCCCGGATGCCGGAGAGATAAGTCGAGGGCTAAGGCCCACAGAGGGGACGAAGGAACCGTGCTGGGAGGGCCTATTGAGTCAGCTCTGGGGGCAGGCATGTGCAAGAAGGGTCCCCTTAGGCCACCTAAAGGGAAAATGTCTGTTTTGATCTCGGTGCTGAAGCGTGCAGGGCAGAGCAGTTCCAGTGCGTGTCCTGTCACTTGTCTCTGTTGCACTCTGTGTTGTTTGGGTCTCTCAGTCCTGTCTTCTCATTGAAAGCTCTCTCTCCATCTCCTGTCCCCTTGTTTGTCACGTCCTGTCTTGTGTCATCGGTGCCTGCACATATTTGTCCCGAAGCTGCTCTGCCCTGCTGCATAGCCTGTAATAACACAAGTCCTGGGGACTTGAAATGGGTAATGCAGGGTGTAGTTGCGATCTAGATTCTATTGGCAGATTGACATAACATTTTTGGTGCTGTTAAGTTGTCCTGCAGCTATTTGATGCTAGTCCTAAGTTCCTTTCAGATGCTGACCGTTCAAATCTGTGGCGGAGAGCGCCAGTCCTGGGTAAAGGTGTTGGCATAAGCAGGTCAGTCATTGTTTGCATTTACAGGGGAATTCTAAATGGTGACTATGTTACAGCGGTGTTTTTGTCTTTATTTTTAGGAGATCCTGGCAGATAGCAGCAGTCAAGGCCCATTGTGCTAGGTGAGCAGTGGAGAGAAGCTGTTGTTTTTGCTCAGGTTTCGGTTTTTGGTGCGACTGTAAGCATCCATTCTTGTTTGTGCGCTTTAGGAAATCCACTTGGAGTATGCCAAGACCCTGTCACCAGTTGGCTGATGGACTGATTTTCCTGTGCTTTATGAGACCTCTGGAAGTATAGCGGGACCCTGTGATGAAGCCTAAAATTTGTGTTTTTCAGGGTCCCATTCTGGTAGCCCGGAAGAATGGACAAGGAGTTGCGGTGAGTCTGGGATGTAGGGAGGAGGAGCGTGGGTACACTCAAGTTTCAGCAATGCCACGTCAGCCCCTCTCCACTTAACCGTGCTGTACCCATAGGTGATGCTGTCGGCCTCCAAGCACGCCTGAAGTGTGTGGCCTGGGCACTCTGAGGAGGATGGTGAGTAGCAGATTTACCAGGTTTTGGCCGATGTGCTGTTAAGACTGTGCACTGATGTTTGGTTTTCTTTCTGTGGGCAGACCAAGAGGTGACAGCTGGAACTTAGCAGGCGGGCAGACGGCCTTCTTCTGCAGCCAGCAGGGATTGACATCCCCAGATATGTGCAAGATAAGTGGAGTGTTACGACCTACAGAGGGGATGGAAGCGGGGTGCTGGCTTGGGCCTTTCTAGAAGGGTTTTTTTTGTCTGTTTTGGGGATGGGGATGTCCAAGAAGCGTTTCCTTAGGCCACCTAAAGGGAAAGTGTCTGTTTTGGTCTCAGTGCTGAGGTTCACAGGGCAGAGCAGTTCCGGTGTGTGTCCTGTCACTTGTCTCTGGTGCACTCTGTGTTGTTTGGGTCTCTCGGTCCTTTCTTCTCCTCGAGAGCTCTCTCTCCCTGTCACGTCCTGTCCTGTGTCACGGGTGTCTGCACATATTTGTCCCGGCCATGCTCTGCCCTGCTGCATAGCCTGTAATAGCACAAGTCCTGGGGACTTGAAATTGGTAATGCAGTGTGTAGTTGGGATCTGGATTGTGTAAGGAGATGGCCATAACATGTTCAGTGGTGTTAAGTTGTCCTGCAGCTGTTTGATACTAGTTCTAACTTCCTTTCAGATGCTGACAGTTCAAATCTGTGGCGGAGAGCGCCAGTCCTGGGTGAGGATCTTCCCATGAGCAGGTCGGTCATTGTTTGCATTTACAGGGGAATTCTAAATGGTGACTATGTTACAGCGGTGTTTTTGTCTTTATTTTTAGGAGATCCTGGCAGATAGCAGCAGTCAAGGCCCATTGTGCTAGGTGAGCAGTGGAGAGAAGCTGTTGTTTTTGCTCAGGTTTCGGTTTTTGGTGCGACTGTAAGCATCCGTTCTTGTTTGTGTACTTTAGGGAATCCCTTCGGAGTACGCATAGCACCTGTCACCAGCTGGCCAATGGACTGGGTTTCCTGTGCTTTATGAGACCTCTGGAAGTATAGCGGGACCCTGTGATGAAGCCTTCACATTTTGTATGTCAGGGTCCCACCCTGGTAGCCCAGAGGAGTGGACAAGGAATTGCGGTGAGTCTGGGATGTAGGGAGGAGGAGCGTGGGTACACTCAAGTTTCAGCAATGCCACGTCAGCCCCTCTCCACTTAACCGTGCTGTACCCATAGGTGATGCTGTCGGCCTCCAAGCACGCCTGAAGTGTGTGGCCTGGGCACTCTGAGGAGGATGGTGAGTAGCAGATTTACCAGGTTTTGGCCGATGTGCTGTTAAGACTGTGCACTGATGTTTGGTTTTCTTTCTGTGGGCAGACCAAGAGGTGACAGCTGGAACTTAGCAGGCGGGCAGACGGCCTTCTTCTGCAGCCAGCAGGGATTGACATCCCCAGATATGTGCAAGATAAGTGGAGTGTTACGACCTACAGAGGGGATGGAAGCGGGGTGCTGGCTTGGGCCTTTCTAGAAGGGTTTTTTTTGTCTGTTTTGGGGATGGGGATGTCCAAGAAGCGTTTCCTTAGGCCACCTAAAGGGAAAGTGTCTGTTTTGGTCTCAGTGCTGAGGTTCACAGGGCAGAGCAGTTCCAGTGTGTGTCCTGTCACTTGTCTCTGGTGCACTCTGTGTTGTTTGGGTCTCTCGGTCCTTTCTTCTCCTCGAGAGCTCTCTCTCCCTGTCACGTCCTGTCCTGTGTCACGGGTGTCTGCACATATTTGTCCCGGCCATGCTCTGCCCTGCTGCATAGCCTGTAATAGCACAAGTCCTGGGGACTTGAAATTGGTAATGCAGTGTGTAGTTGGGATCTGGATTGTGTAAGGAGATGGCCATAACATGTTCAGTGGTGTTAAGTTGTCCTGCAGCTGTTTGATACTAGTTCTAACTTCCTTTCAGATGCTGACAGTTCAAATCTGTGGCGGAGAGCGCCAGTCCTGGGTGAGGATCTTCCCATGAGCAGGTCGGTCATTGTTTGCATTTACAGGGGAATTCTAAATGGTGACTATGTTACAGCGGTGTTTTTGTCTTTATTTTTAGGAGATCCTGGCAGATAGCAGCAGTCAAGGCCCATTGTGCTAGGTGAGCAGTGGAGAGAAGCTGTTGTTTTTGCTCAGGTTTCGGTTTTTGGTGCGACTGTAAGCATCCGTTCTTGTTTGTGTACTTTAGGGAATCCCTTCGGAGTACGCATAGCACCTGTCACCAGCTGGCCAATGGACTGGGTTTCCTGTGCTTTATGAGACCTCTGGAAGTATAGCGGGACCCTGTGATGAAGCCTTCACATTTTGTATGTCAGGGTCCCACCCTGGTAGCCCAGAGGAGTGGACAAGGAATTGCGGTGAGTCTGGGATGTAGGGAGGAGGAGCGTGGGTACACTCAAGTTTCAGCAATGCCACGTCAGCCCCTCTCCACTTAACCGTGCTGTACCCATAGGTGATGCTGTCGGCCTCCAAGCACGCCTGAAGTGTGTGGCCTGGGCACTCTGAGGAGGATGGTGAGTAGCAGATTTACCAGGTTTTGGCCGATGTGCTGTTAAGACTGTGCACTGATGTTTGGTTTTCTTTCTGTGGGCAGACCAAGAGGTGACAGCTGGAACTTAGCAGGCGGGCAGACGGCCTTCTTCTGCAGCCAGCAGGGATTGACATCCCCAGATATGTGCAAGATAAGTGGAGTGTTACGACCTACAGAGGGGATGGAAGCGGGGTGCTGGCTTGGGCCTTTCTAGAAGGGTTTTTTTTGTCTGTTTTGGGGATGGGGATGTCCAAGAAGCGTTTCCTTAGGCCACCTAAAGGGAAAGTGTCTGTTTTGGTCTCAGTGCTGAGGTTCACAGGGCAGAGCAGTTCCGGTGTGTGTCCTGTCACTTGTCTCTGGTGCACTCTGTGTTGTTTGGGTCTCTCGGTCCTTTCTTCTCCTCGAGAGCTCTCTCTCCCTGTCACGTCCTGTCCTGTGTCACGGGTGTCTGCACATATTTGTCCCGGCCATGCTCTGCCCTGCTGCATAGCCTGTAATAGCACAAGTCCTGGGGACTTGAAATTGGTAATGCAGTGTGTAGTTGGGATCTGGATTGTGTAAGGAGATGGCCATAACATGTTCAGTGGTGTTAAGTTGTCCTGCAGCTGTTTGATACTAGTTCTAACTTCCTTTCAGATGCTGACAGTTCAAATCTGTGGCGGAGAGCGCCAGTCCTGGGTGAGCATCTTCCCATGAGCAGGTCGGTCATTGTTTGCATTTACAGGGGAATTCTAAATGGTGACTATGTTACAGCGGTGTTTTTGTCTTTATTTTTAGGAGATCCTGGCAGATAGCAGCAGTCAAGGCCCATTGTGCTAGGTGAGCAGTGGAGAGAAGCTGTTGTTTTTGCTCAGGTTTCGGTTTTTGGTGCGACTGTAAGCATCCGTTCTTGTTTGTGTACTTTAGGGAATCCCTTCGGAGTACGCATAGCACCTGTCACCAGCTGGCCAATGGACTGGGTTTCCTGTGCTTTATGAGACCTCTGGAAGTATAGCGGGACCCTGTGATGAAGCCTTCACATTTTGTATGTCAGGGTCCCACCCTGGTAGCCCAGAGGAGTGGACAAGGAATTGCGGTGAGTCTGGGATGTAGGGAGGAGGAGCGTGGGTACACTCAAGTTTCAGCAATGCCACGTCAGCCCCTCTCCACTTAACCGTGCTGTACCCATAGGTGATGCTGTCGGCCTCCAAGCACGCCTGAAGTGTGTGGCCTGGGCACTCTGAGGAGGATGGTGAGTAGCAGATTTACCAGGTTTTGGCCGATGTGCTGTTAAGACTGTGCACTGATGTTTGGTTTTCTTTCTGTGGGCAGACCAAGAGGTGACAGCTGGAACTTAGCAGGCGGGCAGACGGCCTTCTTCTGCAGCCAGCAGGGATTGACATCCCCAGATATGTGCAAGATAAGTGGAGTGTTACGACCTACAGAGGGGATGGAAGCGGGGTGCTGGCTTGGGCCTTTCTAGAAGGGTTTTTTTTTGTCTGTTTTGGGGATGGGGATGTCCAAGAAGCGTTTCCTTAGGCCACCTAAAGGGAAAGTGTCTGTTTTGGTCTCAGTGCTGAGGTTCACAGGGCAGAGCAGTTCCGGTGTGTGTCCTGTCACTTGTCTCTGGTGCACTCTGTGTTGTTTGGGTCTCTCGGTCCTTTCTTCTCCTCGAGAGCTCTCTCTCCCTGTCACGTCCCCTCGTTTGTCACGTCCTGTCCTGTGTCACGGGTGTCTGCACATATTTGTCCCGGCCATGCTCTGCCCTGCTGCATAGCCTGTAATAGCACAAGTCCTGGGGACTTGAAATTGGTAATGCAGTGTGTAGTTGGGATCTGGATTGTGTAAGGAGATGGCCATAACATGTTCAGTGGTGTTAAGTTGTCCTGCAGCTGTTTGATACTAGTTCTAACTTCCTTTCAGATGCTGACAGTTCAAATCTGTGGCGGAGAGCGCCAGTCCTGGGTGAGCATCTTCCCATGAGCAGGTCGGTCATTGTTTGCATTTACAGGGGAATTCTAAATGGTGACTATGTTACAGCGGTGTTTTTGTCTTTATTTTTAGGAGATCCTGGCAGATAGCAGCAGTCAAGGCCCATTGTGCTAGGTGAGCAGTGGAGAGAAGCTGTTGTTTTTGCTCAGGTTTCGGTTTTTGGTGCGACTGTAAGCATCCGTTCTTGTTTGTGTACTTTAGGGAATCCCTTCGGAGTACGCATAGCACCTGTCACCAGCTGGCCAATGGACTGGGTTTCCTGTGCTTTATGAGACCTCTGGAAGTATAGCGGGACCCTGTGATGAAGCCTTCACATTTTGTTTGTCAGGGTCCCACCCTGGTAGCCCAGAGGAGTGGACAAGGAATTGCGGTGAGTCTGGGATGTAGGGAGGAGGAGCGTGGGTACACTCAAGTTTCAGCAATGCCACGTCAGCCCCTCTCCACTTAACCGTGCTGTACCCATAGGTGATGCTGTCGGCCTCCAAGCACGCCTGAAGTGTGTGGCCTGGGCACTCTGAGGAGGATGGTGAGTAGCAGATTTACCAGGTTTTGGCCGATGTGCTGTTAAGACTGTGCACTGATGTTTGGTTTTCTTTCTGTGGGCAGACCAAGAGGTGACAGCTGGAACTTAGCAGGCGGGCAGACGGCCTTCTTCTGCAGCCAGCAGGGATTGACATCCCCAGATATGTGCAAGATAAGTGGAGTGTTACGACCTACAGAGGGGATGGAAGCGGGGTGCTGGCTTGGGCCTTTCTAGAAGGGTTTTTTTTGTCTGTTTTGGGGATGGGGATGTCCAAGAAGCGTTTCCTTAGGCCACCTAAAGGGAAAGTGTCTGTTTTGGTCTCAGTGCTGAGGTTCACAGGGCAGAGCAGTTCCGGTGTGTGTCCTGTCACTTGTCTCTG